CCAAGGCCACAGCTAGCTAACGATAGAGGTGTGACTCAAACCAAGCTGGGACTGTCATTCAAAGCTCCTCAAACCCAAAGTTCCTCCTGTGTTCCAGGTTCTCTCAGGAAGTTACACTCTATAAAGAAGCCTCTCCCTTCCAACGACCCTGGAGTATGTGCATGCACCTTCCATAAGCAGCAGACGGATGCTGCTGAGACTTGTGGGTAGAGGATCAAGACCCGACAGCTCAGTTACATGCTCTGGCTGTGTACATCAAGACTCACTGGATTTTAGGCTATTAGGGGTGTCCTGCGGTTACCAATTCAGGAGTAGACGGGACACCTCCCTCTACCTTCCAGAGGGACGGAAACTTCTAGAGATGCTGCACATGGTAAAGGAGGGAACATTTATTTTTTTTAAAGCTGGGTGGTGGGTATGTGAAGAGTTCATTTCATTATTTATTATTCCTTGAACAGTATACCCTCATGATATTTGCTCTTGTAAAATTGTTTTATGATATGTCATGCCTTAATATAATGTATTTCCTAATGAAAAATTGAAAGGGGACACAGGATGTAAGAGGGAAGAAAAAGGCCATCAAGTGTTGAGTAGACACTTGAAAGATGGAAGTCTTGCAGTTGGAGCTGAGCAGACATGATCAATCCAGAGTCAGATCGTGTGCAGTTCTGCAGTGGCTGTTCTCAAATTTGGGTTCTCGTCATCATCTGAGGAGCTGGAGTCCTATCTCACACTCTACACCCAGAAAAGCTCCAAATATCAGAAACGCAACCAAACTAGAGAAAAGCAGGAGAAAGTTATTTTGTAACCTCAAAGTTATGAAGGACTTTTGAATTACGACTCAAAATTCAGAAGCCATAAAAAGAGGTTGATAAATTTGATGACAAACAAATAAAAATCTGCATGGAAAAAAAATATCATCCCAAGGCTCAAAAGACAAACAAGAAAAATTAGGGAAACATTTGTAATCATACCACAAAAAGGTCATTTCTCTATAAATTAAGAAAAAAAGCAATGAACCAACAGAAAAAATAATGTTTTCCAAAAAGAAATTACAGAAGCCTCTTAATTACATATGAAAATATGGTGAAATTTACTGATAATAAGAAAAAGTGCAAATTAAAATACATTTTGGCACATGTTTTACCTATTATGATAGCAAAATTTTATAAGATTGATGAAAATCTATGCTGGCAAAGACTTTGGGGAGACAGGCACTCTTATACATTGATGAAGTAAAGGTGAATTTCCTTTGGAGGGAAATCTGTCAATGTCTGTCAAAAGTAATTACGTGTAGTCTGTCACCCAGCATTCCAAGAAATTTCTTCTATGCTGCATGTGACACTCACACAAGGATATTCATTGCAATGTAGTTTGCAATAGCCAAAGATTGAAAACCACCTAAACCCTTCAATAGGAGACTGACTAAATACTGCATGGCACATTAACACAATGAAAGACTATGAATCTATAAATGATAATTTTGTAGCTGATAGAGAAGGATCTGGAAAGATACACAGGAAACTAGTAAATAGGGTTACTATGGGGGGGTTTCCAGACAGATCGAAGGAACTGTGGAAGAAAAGCTTTCTATGGTTTATCCTTTTATGTAATACTTTTTGATTTTTGAACTATAGAGATTATTTATTTGAACTTTAGCTTGATTAATTTAAACAATGACCCCCCTCTCGAGGCGCCTGTTAAACACGTCAGCGGTTTCCCCAGCAGCAACTCCACTGAAGTGGAACCCCTAGATAGGAGCACTGCCCCCTCCTGCTAAGGGTTAGGGGACTTACTTCTTCACAAAGACTCACACTCCTTTATCTCTGGTGTCTGAGTTTAAAGTAATAGTGCAAAGCACCCCCTCAGGGGAGATTTAGTCTAGGGTAAACCCACCATCTGCCCAAGTTTGCTAAAATGGATAATTATTATTACACGGTTTCCAGAAAACAGTTTGTACAATTTCTGGCCATGGACAGTTTCCATTTATCTTCTCCTTTTTGTTTGCATTATTTAAAAAAAGAAAAGAAAAGGAAAAAAAAAAACATTTTGTGGGTGGCAGATGGATAAAAAGGGGGTGAGCCAGGCTTCAAGCACTGTTTCTAACCATTGTCATCCATGTCTGCACTTACGGTCTGTCAAAAGCAACATTATATGTTGATGAAAAGACCACAGTGGAAACAAACAAACAACGGCCACACCCATGGCTAAGATGGAAAGTCATAAAAAAATGTCTTTTCTGATAGCCACTGAAATTGAACATACATTCTATAGCTTAGCCATTTCGGTCTTAGGTACACACCAAAAGAAATGCACTCACTTGTGCAATAAAACGCAAGTGTGAGAATGTCCTCCGAAGCGTTGCTCATCATAAAGAGCCCCGAATGGGACACTCCGCAAATATTCGTCAAGATTAGAGGCGCTAGATGAACGTGTGGCACGGCCCCGTGACGAAATTCTCTCCAGCAACGAGGATGAAAGAAGCAGAATGGCATGCAACAATGTCATAAGCAGAATGCAGAATCAAAAGAAGACAGATAAAAAAGAAAGCATATGGTATGATTTTAAAGTATATGTTAGAATAACAGGCCAAAAGAATCTACGGCTTTAGAAGAGAGGATGATGGATGGAAGATAGTGACTGGAAGAGTGTGTGGTTGGGAGGGCGGGACGTGTTCTGGGGACTGGTGACATCTTGTTAACTGACCTGGACAGTCAGTTTGTACAAAATCATCAGGCAGTACATTTCATATTTGCACATTTTCTGCATTTTTGTTAGCTTTATAAAATGTCTTTAAAAAGCCGTTCCAAGTCAGAATGAGTAGTGTGTCAATGAATTTTGGACAAGAAATAGACTTAGCTTCTAAATAAATGCCGTCCTAGCCCCTACTGAGATACAAAGAGATTCCAAAGGGACTGAACGGACAGATGCTATCAACCAAAGCTCCTGGGAAATTACGCAGAGAACTGGGCTTGATGGTGGAGAGGGGACCCCTCCATCCCGCCAGATGCAAAGAAGCAGCAATGGGCCTGCAGAACAACGAGAGGGAGAGGCTGCGGGTTTGGGACAAAGCACTGCAATCACCGTTCACTTGCCAGAAATCCCATGGAAGTTAACTTCCAGATGAGCGAAACGTTCCTCATTGATCGTCTCCTTCATTTAAAACAGAATCATTTTCAGTGGAACTCTTTCGCAAATGCATTTCGTACATCCTGATATTTTGAAGAGTCCACGGAATAGAATATAACATTTACACCAAATAAGAACGCTAACCATTAGGTCCTATCTTTGTGCTGGGCAATTTCCGAAATGCTTTCCAGCAGATTTTTCTCTCTTAATCCTAACAAAACCCCGATGAAGCAGGTGCTATTATCATTCCCACTTTACGAATGAGGCTGAGAGCAATGAAAAGACTCTCCGAGTTCATACGACAAATAATGACGGGGGAGGAGAAGCACACTGCAGCTCCACAGGGCAAACCCCTAACCACGGTGCCATCTTTTCTTCTCGGCTTCAGTCATTTCGCGGATGCTACACGGGCCGATGCCAACACATAGACGAGACTATTAGCCGTACCTGTAGAGAGGCTGACTTCTCATTGCTTTTTCTCTCCATGTTTCCTTTCTCCTTCATCAATGTTATACTGTGAGTATTCACATAAAGCTACACACCAAAAACTTCTACCCAAAAATCAGATAAAAATCAACAGCGTGCTGTTTGTACCACTTTAAATAAGCTCTCAATCTCCTTAGATCTTTCTGTTAAAAAAAGAAACAACTGGCCCAAAATGGAGTCGCCCGCGTTAAGTCTCATATCAGCAAACCAAGACTTAATTGCAGTTTCAGCTTCTCCTAGGAAAGTGACCTTTAACAAATTAATCTGGAATTACCTGGTCAGCGGTACTGAGGAAGTACGCCTGACTACCCACCGCTCCCTAAAGAAAAGTCACCTTGCCTGAAATGACCAGCTCCTTGCTAGAAACTTCTTTTCCTGCCCCCTTCTGCCTCTAAAAGCCTCCCGTTTCGTACAGCTCCTTGCAACAACTTTCTACTTGCTAGATGGGATGCTGCCCAATTTATGAATCATTGAAAAAAACCCAATTAGATCCTGAAATGAACTGTGGGGGTTCAGAACAAGTCACCCCAAGACGTGCCACGCTGGCATGCAGATTATTTTGAGCTGAGAACAATCAAGGCTCAGAAGGCTCAGGAAGAACCTTTGTCGTCCCCACCTTACTGCTGAAAAGAATTAAAGATAGAGAATCTGCTCCAGGAAGGAAGACTCCTCAGAGATAACTAGTTTAGAACCAAGTGTGGTAGCCCGGGGCAGGGCGGGGCAGGGGATGGAGACCAAGCAAAGCCCCTTCCATCATGGTCCTCCTGTGTCCTGTTGTTTTAAGGTGGCCAGGCAAACATTCATTTACTAAACGTGTACTCTTTTCAGCCCCTCGTAAATTGCCTGACTTCTCTTTGAAGTCCTGGCCCCTTCTTCCCATTCCTGAGTCCCCAGTGGCATCTATTCCTCATTTTGACTTAACCGTCTTTGGAATTTCCATGCTTATGTGACTTCCCCGTGTGCGTCTCCTCTTCATCCGCCCGATGTCATTTTAATTATTCTGTCAGCCGGAAGAACGAAGAGGGAAACGGGAACGTTTTCCCCCATTCCAACACAGTCAGTCGAATTTTGTTTTTTAACATTTCTATTTGGCTAAAATATCCCGTGGAGTTGGACCAACTCCTTTATCAGTTTAAGAAACCCCACTGGTTCTCTGCATTTCAAAGCGTCCTGGATTTGCTTTTCCTTAACACAGCTGGGAAGGAAACCTGCGATGCTCATCAGATTAGCAAAAGCAGCCCTAACCGGGGTCCATCTTGACTGTACGGCTCCCCAGAAAAGACGAAAGTGGGGGCAGATAAGCACCGAGGCGTGCAGAGAGCCATTTACTGAGAGGTTTATCAGCTAGCAGGCCTGCGGAGAGAAAGAAAGCCCCATCTTCTTACCCTGTTTTCAAGCTGACCAAGGCGTCCTCCACTCCCTTCTGATTAAATTTGGTCATGTACTGATGCATGTAGGGGTAGTTATTCCGGATGTTTCTTTCGGTGCTGCCGTTAGGCACCGTGCCGAATCGAAAAGGTGGGGAATAGTCGTGGGGTCTCTGAAACTGGAGAGAGAGGCAGAGATAGACAGACAGACAAAGAACAGAAGGAGGAGGAGAAAGAGAAGTCAGTCATCATTCTGTCTCATGTCAGGAGTTACACAAATGCACGCATTAGCACGGGACAGCAAAAACACGTTCATTTTTGTGCTTCCTTTCCACTTCATCACATCTTCCACTGGTCTGTGAGCTGCAGGAGGTCGCAAACAGTGTCTGTCTTGTTCTGTACTGTCTGTGCCCAGCACATACTGGCTGAGTATGCAATAGATATTGCTGGATTAAATTTTTTGGTACCTTTATCGAGACCAGCCTAGTAGAAGGCACTGAGGAACTGGCAGTGCTCAGGAAATGCTGATTGAGCTGCAATCAAGGTATTATTTTAGTTCAGTTCATTTATCTACCTTATGATGAAATTGTCTGTGATCTCCACCGATCGCTCTCTTCTCTCTGAACTCCTTTTACAATGACCTTCACCTCACTCAGAAAATGATGGAGGGGCGCAGAATTTGCCACCCCAAAATACGCCTCTTTGGCATAAGGATTTGGGGGGATGATTATTTTTTGAGAAGGCACAGACACAGGAGATGCTCTGAAAACCAGGTAGAAGTTACTCTTTTGTGAGAAGCATTTACATTTATAAGGGACATCTCCATCTGTAAGGGCGTCTTCCTCTGGGTACCAGGAAGTGAAGGGTGACTAACTCTCCGAAACTCTTATCAATGGAGAAGGCAGCTGACTTAAGTCTGCATAACAACCTTCCCCTCATTTACTTTGCTTTTCCTGGCAGCCTCCCATCACTGGCCTCACCTCAGCATCTTTTGGTATTTAAGGTGGCTGCTTGGGTCAGTTCAGGAGTTACTTATTGTTCCTGAGTATCTCCCATGTATACAGGAGGGATACATGTTATTAAACTCCTTTTTTTTTTTTCTCCTGTTAATCTGTCTTTTACTACTGGGGCATGGGAGTCTCAACCTGGAACCTAGAGGGTAGATGAAAAATTCTTTTTCTTCCCCTACAATGTTTCTATGTTGCCATTGACTCTTTCTCACTCATTCATGCACATGTACCTGCAATACTAATTGGGGGCCTAACATATTTCAGGCATAATGGCGGGCTCCATGAACGTTTGTTGAGCTGATGTCCCTACTAGCCGTTAGCTTCCTGGGGTACCCACGTCTCTTATGGCCCTCTAGTCTCCATAAAGTCTCACTGCCCATGCTCTACTAGTCTTCCATGGTTGGCTGTTATTATCCACAACAACTTCAATGTTTGGGGCAACCCAATCCGATTAGGAGTCAAGGGAAATGGATCTGAGGCCCCAAAACGCAATTAAAATCTAGAGGCAACACAGGGCAATGGCTATGAGTGTGAGCACAGGTTCACAGGCTGCAAAATCAGGTTCTATCATTTACAAACTGTACGAACTTAGATACATCACTTCACACGTCCTCCATTTATTTTCCATCTGTAGAGTGGGAAACAGACCTCCTTTGTAGGGTCAATGGGAAGATCTAAAATTATAACATTTGTCAAGTAATTAGAATGGTACTTGGAACAGGGTATCAAAAATAAAACTATTATTATTTTCATTTTTACTGTCATTATGAGCCAAAAAAAAAGGGCGGGGAGGGGAACCAGGGCCTCGATTTTCTGTGAAATGTAGAATTCTGAAACTAGAAATTGATGATCATAAAACCACAAGCTAAGGTCTGAACTCCATTGCTGCTCAGAAATCATGCTAGTGACACCATCCTCTGTTAGAAGTGCCGATCTTGAGACCCGGAGAGGGGAGGACACCAAGCAATGCCATGGCAGAACCAGGACTGGAACCCAGAGGTCTCGTGAATTTTCGGTGAAATGTAGAATTCTGAAACTAGAAAGTGATGATCATAAAACCACAAGCTAAGGTCTGAACTCCATTGCTGCTCAGAAATCATGCTAGTGACACCATCCTCTGTGAGAAGTGCCGATCTTGAGACCCGGAGAGGGGAGGACACCAAGCAATGCCATGGCAGAACCAGGACTGGAACCCAGAGGTCTCGTGACTTCCAGGACAGTCTGCCCGCCGAGAATTACCAGAGACAGCATCTGAGTTTACCCAAGAGTCAGACCAACTGGAAACGTTATTCATTCATTCATTCATTCATTCATTATTTATTTTAAAAATTCAGACTCACCCTTCCTTCCATTGTTAATTAAAATTTCTGGTTGAAAACCATTTCCCCTAAATTAGGCATGCTGCTGCCTCATTAGCAGCCATGCTGGACTTGAGGGAAGTGGCCAGACGATGTCCAAATGAGATCCTCCTGCAGGACGCCTTGTGTTGTGTGTGTGTGTGTGTGTGTGTGTGTGTGTGTGTGTGTGTGCACGCATGTGTATACAACAAAATGCTCTTGAACTCACTCCAGCAAGCGGCGCCTCAACTCATCACGGAAAGAGGAGGAGGGCCCAGCCTAGGGCGTCTGCAAGGCAGCTGCCTGCTCAGGAAGGGAGGCGACAGCTCTGTCCCTAAGTCTAGCTGCCGCAGCTGCCACTCCAACATCCGGAGACTTCCAGAGATGGGCCGTGTGACGTGCTGCCTCCACTTCACCCCCAGCTGTTGCAGAGGAGCCCAAGAGCTCTTCCAGATTCCCTTCCTCCCTCTGGTTTGCACGGCGACAAACGCTCAGCCTCCGTGATGAATTTCCATACTTCTGTGGCCTTGATTATACCATCGCCCACACAAAATTCAGCCCAGCATCAAGATCCAGGAACCTTTTCCATTAGACTAAAGGCTGTCAACCGTTTTAAAGCATGACTCACAATACATTTCCCATCGCCACCTTATACACACTCAACACATACACACACACACACACACACACACACACACACAAACACACACGCCACTTCACAGTACTCGCTCTTTCCACATGCCATATACTCTGATGTCATCGATTACGTTCTATTTTTTGAATGGTTACATCCCTTAAATTAATTTCATGGCTCACTAAAGAGTCACGATCTACAGTGTGAAAAATAGGTAGGGGCGAACTTGACTCATCTCTTGAGTCCCAGGTCCTAGCATCGAGGACACACTCTGTTTCTTACAGAAATAATTTCTAGTGCGACTTTCTTCCAGAGAGTTCCGTGTGCAGGGATAAAGAAACATGGGCTTTAGCGAAGGAAGGGGTGGTGCAGGGGTTTCCACGGCCAGCAGGACTGCAGAGCGACGGAGCCACGATGCCCGGGGTCAGTGGAACTCGTCACAGTCACGGCTTCTCTCTGTCAAGGCTGCCTTCACTATTCATGTTCACTGGCCCCACTTGGCCTTGGGCTTGGAGTTCGGCTTGTCATCTGCCACTTAGGAATGCAGTCACTTTGGGATATGCTTAAGGTCTCTGGGCCTCATTTTCTCTATCTATAATTTGAGGAGTGCTTTTGCAATTAATCATAGAGTGCTTAAAAGACTACCTGGCATCTGCGTGCTTGATACTCATCGCTTCATCACCTGTGGTTAACCAGAGTGACTTAAGCCAAATAATAGAGCTGGTTTCCTTCCAATTTGGAGAAGAGAGGACTAGAGGATTATATTCTAAATTTTTTTTTCCATTCAATATGTGGATCGGTCTGAAAATCGTCCAAGTGAATAAAACATGGCAAGCACTTTATGATAGAAGAAGCAGAGATGCAAGTCTGGGAAATAAATTGTTTAGGGAAAAAATGGCAGTTGACCAGGACATTCCTTCGTTCCTCTTATGAACCCAACCTACGTGTTTATTTAAAATATCTGTCTTCTGCGGCTGTAAATAAGGGACACTGGCAACTGGGCCCCTGTCTCCAGTATGGTCTTCTCCCGCTGGTGAAGCTCCACGTGCTTCTAGATGTCGGCTTCAAACAACTGTGGCTCTTAGGAGGGAGGAGAGGCTCGGAGGCCTCCGTTCAATCAACGGCCTGCCTGGTGGGCCAGGACCACCAGCGGTGCCACCACAGTGCCCAGACACAGCGTGACTCTGCGAGAATAACACGTTCATGGGCTCATCTCCCTGGGGCAATTCTCAAATTCCCTCCGTTGCTGTCACAAAGAGCCAACTTAGCGCACTAATGTTTTGGACTCCAGAAGTGAGGACCGGTTCGAATCAGGCAGTGATGATGATAATGAGGAAGAGGAGGGAGATGAAGAGAAAGGAGGATGGGGAGAGGCAGCAGGTTATTTCTAATCGTCATATCGACCTTGCCGGAACGGTATCAATACCCCCCTTTATTAGGAAACGAAGCCTTGGGGATCCTGACACATCGAAGGCCATACAACCATTAAATGGCAAGGTTGGGATTTGAACCCAGGTCCATTTGACCCCAAAGAGGAAACTGGCTCTTCCCACTACATTAATCTGCCTTCCAGAGATGGGTTTCCCTGCCACAGCGATGCCCAACGTTTCGGAATTCCAACTTTCCTTTAATAATTCCTAGGGGAGCATCTGCCAACGAATCCACCTACTCGCAATTTAGACCCAGCCTCGTCTGAGCACATCACAGACAAAGCACTGACACTGGAAACGGCTTAGAGTATCGTAAACTCGAATTGGTATTCATGATAAAAGAAAGGAAAAAGAAACAGCACTTCTGTACAGTATTAAAATAAATGGATTCAGTACAGATTTTTGTTTTGCGAACTTTCTTGGTGTCCCTGCTATTAATCTACTGGGAGCATTTGGCTTATTTACTCCCGGAATTTTGCCATTTATCTAATTGTATCAAACATTTAATTACGAGAGCCATGTGCTTGCTGCTCACGCTCTGAGCTTGGAAACTGAGCTGTGTGTCATCAGGATGTGGTATGTGCGACTAGGTGTTCCCAAATCAGAGGTCGGTCAGATCATTAGTGGGGCTAATTAGCTGTCCCACAAGCGGTCATGTTATTTAGACCCAAAAGTATATAGTGAGGGATTTCTCCCTAGCCTTTGAAAACAGCAACAAAATGCAGAATATGCTGCTGATTATTTTCATCCAGCACACGGCTCCCTCGTGCTTCCACTGCACCTCCAGCCGCTGCTTCTAGAAAGTGTACTTTTTGCTCCCATCCCATGACGGACGCGTGTAACAGGGCTTTGTGTCTCCAGGGGACTTCCATAGGCTCCCAGGCACCTCCGCGTTTGCAACCTCCTTCCATCCTCACTACGCCTGTGACTCCCAAGCTCACAGAGAGGAGTGAGAGGCGCGGCAAGGCTGCAGGGCCGGGAGGTGTCACACAGCCTGTGTGGCCGAGAGGAGATGGGAACTGGCTTTCCCAGCGCCGAGGGCAGGGCTTTCTCCGCTGCCTCACAGACGCCATAAGCCAACAGTCGACCCTGAGCCGAGGAAGTGGGTGAACATGATTCATTAGGGAAGGGCTCCAGCAGACACCAGGGAGGGAGTGGGGGCAAGTGGTCAGGGAATGGGAGGAAGGAGCCGAGGGTGTAATCGTAGGCAAGGGCTCAGCCTCAGCCTGATGCCACGGGGAGCTCCGGAGAGTAACCTGTAGCTGAGTTTGCCCTGCCTAGAAGCCATGGAGCAGAGGGCTTTTGCGCTGTCACAGTGGTTAGGAGTTGCTTATAGGTGACAGAAAAGACTGGGAGAACTTAAATTCCCAGGCATTAGGGTTCCAGCGCCCGAGGCTATCATCCTGTGACGACTCCTGGCACGAGCCTTTGATAGCGAAGCTGGGGCTGGGCACGCAGAGCTGGAAAAGGGATCCCAGGAGACCGCAGAGGGCTGCCTGCAACGTCCCACAAACCACGCATCTTCTCATTCAATTAACAAGTAGGAAATGGGAGCCTCCTAAGTCTAGGTAACTGGATCACAAGTACCTCCCTCTTCCCCCACATCCATTTCAATCTCATCAGTTTTAGCTCCTTGATGACACTTATTCTGCCTGAAATTTTCTTCTCCGTTTATATTTACTTGTTTGTTGTTATTTCTTCCTACTAGAATTTAGTTTTTTTCTGGGAGCTCCAGCTCAGGCTGCCAAGGAAGTGGCCAGCAAGACCTGTTTCAAGAGGTGATATTTTCCTTACAAGTCAAGGACGAGTCAGCCACGAGAATATGAAAGGAAGAACGTTTGAGGCAGAGGACACAGCAAGTGCAAGGGTACCGCGTTAGAAATAAACTTGGAGTGTTTAAGGAACAGAGAGTGGGCCATCGAGAGGGAGAGGAAGGGACACGAGGGGTTGGCCAGATAATATAGGGCCTTGTCCCCATGGGTTGTAAAGTGGCATTTACTCATGCTACACTGGGAAGCCACCAGAGGCCAACCACTCCCGAGGGTGATGGCGCTTTTGTGACAGATCCCAACCCATTATTATCTCTCTGTACCTCTTTTGACCACAGCAGATAACACAGACAAGCTGGTAAGGCTTTTTTTCACGGGCTGATTTTCTATTCAGTAGTTTGTTGATGGATGCTGAAGGCACATGTGTAGACTTATGTCAACAAGACATGAGAGTGAGATTTCACACAGAGAGACAAATTATCCCCAGACAGGAGATGAAAAATCTTTGCAGTGGTGCAACCCCGACACTGCTGAGCTTAGCAAGTCACGATTTACTTCCTGGATCCAGAATTTCAACAGCAAAAATGTTCTCAGTTTACCTCTTTCCTTCCTCCATGCGCATTTCTGAAGAGCCACTCACACACCAGGACCCTCCTTAAACTTCGGTGGAGAGCACAGGTGTTTACACTCCCACCTTACTGAAGTAAGCGCAGACCCACGGGGGCGCTGCAGGTGTGTCTGAGTAAAAGGGACCAGTGGAGAAAGGAAAACTCTGCTCCTTTCATGTCCCTTAAAGACATTTCAGGTGGGTTGGGCCTGCTGACTTGGGGGCTGAATGGCCACATACTAAAAAGGGGCTGTCATCTTTACCTCTGGGTAGGGCTGAGAGATGACTACCCCCCCACCCCATGTTATTTATGAGGACTCCAAGGCATGGTGTCCATAAAAGATTCCTTGAGGTCTCAGAACCAGGAGAGACCTACAGCCTAGAGCATCTCGCTTCACCCCAAGTTTCTCCTCATCCGGCCCAGTGGATCGTCCTCAATATCACACTCTCCTTGAGAGGGTGAGCTCCAGCCAGAGCTAGAACATTCCCTGGGTCACAAAGCCTCATCGCCAGCAGAATCACGTAAATCCGAGAGATGGCCACTTGGGGAAACTATGCTTCCAAATTAGATCTGGAATCTTTTAGAGTTGGGAGAGGTAAGCTTACGGTTCTGTTCCTAAACTTTTTAGAAATGAGCCAATTTAAGAGAAAAAAAAAAACGTCTTCTGGTTTGTGCTTTAGAGTTGATGAGTTTCGATGACAGGAGCCCAAATCACTCCCTTCTGAGGGGCGAGCATTTCAGATCAGCTCCCCAGGCAGAGATGAAAGCGAGGTGATCTTACCTTTTTGTCACTGAGGCCGGTCACTTGGTCCACAAATTCCTCCTGGATCATGAAAGCCGCCAGATTGGCCGTGTAGCTGGCCAGGAATATGACAGCAAAGAAGGCCCACACGGACACCATGATCTTGCTGGTGGTGCCTTTAGGGTTCTGGACAGGCACAGAGTTGTTGAACACCAGGCCCCAAAGGAGCCATATAGCTTTTCCAATGGTAAAAGAAGGCCCGTGGGGTGCTGCGAATGACAGGAAGATACGCTCAGCATTTTCGCAAGACGCTCACTTGTCAGTGTTTACTAACTACGCGGTGGCCAGCGGCAACATTGAAGGTTGCCAGTGGGTGGACATGCATCCCAGTGTCCCATCACTGCCCCAGAACCAGAGCCACGAAACTCCCTTTTTCCTTTAAAAATTAGCATTCTTCCCACATTTCTATTTAGCTGGATTTTTGCCACGTTTCTTAAAAAAAAAAAAGGAAGGAAGGAAGGAAGGAAGGAAGAGAAAATGATTATGCAAAATGTGGGTTTGCATGAGAAGTAGTGTTATGACCTGTTTTAAATTTGGATGTGATTTCCATTTGGGGGAGGCGATCTCCTCGGAAAACGCAGCGAGAGCCTTGTAAAACCGGGTGTGTGTGGCGGGGGGGCTGCTTCGGTATTCACCGGCTGCGCTGTCGCACAAGAGCCAGGCAGTTCAGAGGGACTGGTGTTTGGTATTCTAATACGATTGTCTGCAGCAGTTGCTCCTGTTCAAATTCGGATGTAAAGTGTGCACAGTACGGGAACGAAACCAAACTAAAACCCTCTCCAAATGGAGACATCAGGGAATGGGATGACAGAGCTTAATTCTTAGGACACTTCACAGACGGCAGGTATTTGGTTGCAGGGTCATGGGCTATGAACTTCGATGTCACAGCACTGTCCCCCCTCATTGTGCCCTTGCAACAACTTCGTGTCCCTCTGAAGATTCTTAAATGTGCCTTGCAACAGATTTAATTAAAGAGGTGTAACCAAATGGCAAAATTTATTGGGTTGAGGAATATGCAGGCTATAAAATGCACGCATTAGGGCTTTCAAGTCTATTTTGCACAAGGGGAAAAAAATCAATGTATGTCCCCATCTGATGGTAAAAAAGAAAAGGTCTTCCTTTAACAGAGGTTAATTTTTATGTCATTCAAGTAAATGAAGATATGAAAAAATGATCTACTTAGACCTCAGTTGGAGATATAAGCAGAGTAGGCAATAAATAAAGTGGCAGAAGTGAATTCTGATGGATAGAAGTTAGAAGTCTGGGCAGGGAGCCTAGGAGAAGCATGCTTTTCGCACGTTGGAGGCCAAACTCAGGCCACAGCAATACTTCTAATATCCATATACGACATAAAAAGAGAAGGCAATTAACTCTGCTCTTCTCAAGCTCAAGTTCTCCTATTCCTCTTTGTCCAGTTTTATGATCTTCTGGGCTTATTCCCAAGAGGCTGAGAACTCTTAAGAAAAAAATAATGAGGCTCCATCCAGTTAACTTCATGAACTACTTCATATAATCAGGAGTGCATGTCGTTCAGAAGTGACAGCTATTTCGGAATCAGAAACAGGCAGTTGCAAGGGATCTGTCCAAGGCTTTGGGGAATTCCTGATTCATGAATACGATTACTAGGCCATATTATTTCCCCCATAAAGTCCAGTGAAATGAAACGGAAAACCATTTTGCACAAAGAAGCAAGTAGCTGTCGTTTCCTGAGAGTTTCTGCATGCAGTTGAGCAGGAACTAGGAAGCCTTGTAACAGAGAGGCTAGAAAGTTTACCAGCTGGATTCCTTCTTCCACAATTGTCTTGAGAGATTAGCCCCGTGACGGTTCACACTGTCCATGTTTCGTCCCCTCTCTTCCTCTCCATTGTATTTTGAAGAAAATCTGAAACGCTCACTGCGGTCGACAGCCTATCTATCTTCCTGGCCTCATCTCACAACCTCACTCATTCATATCGCTGTTTCTTGAACATATCACGATCGATTCTGCGCCGAGGCCTTCGTATGTGCTGTTCCCCCTGCGGGGAATGCTTTTCCCTCGGTTTTTCACATGACTGAATCCTTCCTATCCTCCAGCTCTCAGCTTAAATGTCATCTCTTCCCAAACTCTTTCTCTTGAACATCACGATCGATTCTGCGCCGAGGCCTTCGTATGTGCTGTTCCCCCTGCGGGGAATGCTTTTCCCTCGGTTTTTCACATGACTGAATCCTTCCTATCCTCCAGCTCTCAGCTTAAATGTCATCTCTTCCCAAAAAC